TAAAAGCCTTCTAATAACAAGGGCCGAAGAAAGAGAAGCAGCAGGATGTAGTGTAAGGCAAAACAGACTTAGAATCAGAGGAGCTGCATTAGAATCCTGGCTCTGCCTTTGACCACTTGGGTAACTTTGGGGGCAGCTAGCACAGAGCGCCAGGCCTGACATCAGGAAGACTCATCTCCCTGAGCTCAAATCCAGCCTCAGGACACTTACAAGCTTTGTGACCCTGAGCAAGTCACTTCACGCTGTCTGCCTCAGTTTCCTCATCTGTCAAAGGAGCTGGAGAAGGATATGGCAAACCATTCCAGTATCTTTGTCAAGAAAACCCCAGATGGGGCCACAGAGAGTCAAGCACTCCTGAAATGGACGCACAACAATAAACCTTTTTGGCAAGTCATCTCACGGCTCTTTGACTCATTTTCCTCATCTGTCAGACTAGGGAGTTGGAGAGAGGATTTCTCAGAGCTACAAAACAAGGGTTTTTAGAAACAATGGCCATTTCTAAACAATTACATGGACTAACAATGAAGAATAAGAAATGTGTTTTTGGATATGGCCTTAAATGTGCTTCAGTGATACAGGAATGATGTATTTCTTTCTTTTCTTTTTTTTTTCTGGGTGGAGGGAGGTGAAAGGGAAGGGGGGAAAATGAATGTTTTATAACTGAAAATAATATTTTAAAATATTTTAAAAATTCAAGGCTCCAAGTTTAGTTTTTGTCTCGACGCCATCATATAAATATAAGCAATTCTCACTTTATCACAACATGCTCTTAAAAACTATGTCCATAATGATAACACAAATTCCATTTTCCTATCAGAGAGGTGTTGTAATTGTTACAATTGGTTTGTATTCATCCCACACCAAGCACATAGCATCAAGTAAATCACAGATATGATTAACGATATGTGACCAAAAAAAAGAGTACAAACTACATCCATAAACATTTAAAATAGAAAAATTATGTTTCCAGTCATAAAATTTTACATCTGGAAGGGAACTAAAAATAACTATGTCTCAACCCCTCATTTGACAGAAGAGGGACTAAGTCACAATGCAGGGATGCACTTTGCCCAAGATGCTTTTAATCAAACAAACAACATTTATTAAGCACTCTTCTATCTGCCACGCATCACACTTGGCCCTAAGGATACAAAGGAAAAGCAAAAACAGTAGCTATTCTCAAGAAGATGACGCTCTAATGAAGACATGTAAATGAACACGTACTTAACCAAAGGAGAAGACAGGGCCACCTCAGAGGAGCTACTTAGTGGAAGAAGCAAGACACCCAGTCCCAAGGCTTGTTCCACCGTACCACACTGCTTCAAAAAAAAAAACTAGATAAAACCTGCGCTCAGTGCATATTAATTTTGTTTTCTTTCTTAGAATTTAGAAACCCTTTGCAGGGAAGAGAAAAGGGTATGCTTTGTATGGCAGCAACATCTAGAGTAAAGAGGACTACTTTGGATTCAGATTTGAGGTCTGGCTCTGTTAGTTCCTAGCTGTGGAGTCTTGGGAAAGTTGAGTGACTGAACCTCAGTTTTTTTCATCTGCAAAATGGGGATAACAGTACTTGTAACATCAAATTCCCATGGTTGTGCTAAGGAAAGAACACTGTAAACTTTCAAGTACTATACAAACGGGTGTTACGACCTTGGACAGAGTCCTCTCCCCTCTCTAAGTCTGTTCTCTGGTTACTCATCTCTAAACTGAGGGAGCAGGCTAGCTGATTTCTAAGGTCTCATGGACCTTAGATTCTATGATCTCCATTGTTACCATCAGGTTCTTTTTAAAAACAAAAGGCTTTATAAAGAATTTGAGATGGCTTCTTTTTCTATCAGTAAGTTTTCTTGTGACAAGTAAGTTGGCCAATTAAGCAGGATTTTCCTGAATCTTCTCTTATTCTTATTCTCTCCAAAAAACTACTAAATACAAAGGAAAAGAAGTGACAGAGCACATTTCAAAAGAGCCTGAGTAGAAGGAAGCTAGCAGGGGAAGAGAACAAAACCACTCTTCACTATGCAAATGGGGAAACTCTAATCCAGGAAGAAGGAACTTTCTCAGTGCCCACCAAGTCAGCGAAGAATACAGATAGGGTTAGAACTCAGGTCTGGGGCTCAATCCACAACACCAGGCAGGTATATGTTTTTGGATTAACAAGGAGGGTTGTTCAGGGTGTGTGTGTGTGTGCACGCGCGCACGCGCACGAGCGTGCACACGTATGTACACACACGCACATTTGTCTATGTATATGCGCATGACCGATTTTGCAAAGATACCCACTTCACCCTGCCAAGACAGGTATATGCTACAATAACCCAACAATGAGTGAAGAAATATAGGTGTCAATTAAATAGCTTTGAATGAGCAGAGAAATTAAAAACAATGTATCAAAAAGCGTAGCCTGGAAGACTATGCTATCTTTGAAAGAGCAGCGCTATGTTCAACAAAATTAACAGAAATAAGCTTTGGCTTTCATTCACAAAAATTCATTCAGAAAAATTGATGTCTACGAGGACACATGACTCAGTGTCTGCTTTAGATCAACAATGGAAGGAAGTGTAAAGAAAGTAAAGAACTTTCATTCTCTGTTTCAGGGAGGCCTTCCAGAAGAACAACTATGCTTTGGGTGAATTTTTTCAAATCTCCAGGACAGACTTTGCTCTCCTCTAATGAAGTCTTTGTTTATGGTCTCAAGAACAACATAGTATGGCCACCTACTTTAGGTTGGCAATTCCATCATTAAATATGGTAACAAATATGCAACTGACAAGAAGAAAGCCTTGTACCCCCTGGTGGTTAAATCTGAGGGACAATAAGCTATAAATCAGACACTCATAAAAACTTGTGATCTACACACTTGGCTTAGCCACTGGCTAAAAAGACATGGATATGCTTCTGGATAAATCCAAGACGTGTTACGTCTCTATATAGGAATCCAAATCTCTAAAATGTGTTGTGGGGGCTTTTATTTCTTTAAATTTACCATATACTATACCTTCCCATATCGCTTTGTGAAATGGAAATATGAGGGACAGTCAGAAGATCTTAACATCCAAGTGTTGCCAAGATATTGTGGAAACAGTAGAAGCACTTACCACCAAGTCCCAGTTATTCTGTTCAAGCAACGTAATGGCTTCATCAATGTTTTCAATGCCAGTACATGCCTGAAAAATGAAATAAACAAGAAGAATATTCAGATGAGGATGAGACAACAACTTAGCTTTTAAAGCATAACAATGAGATTGTCAATTCTAACCAGCGTCCAACATATCTAAGTGACTGGATCTGTGAGACACTTAAAGAACAAAATCTGCACAAAATGTAGGCAGCTAGGTGGCTTAATGATTCCAGCACTGCACCGGGAGTCAGGAAAACTTGAGTTCAAATCCAGACTCAGAAACTTACTAGCTGTATGAACCTGGACAGGTCACTTTATCTGTCTGCTTCAGTTAACTCATCTACAAAATAGGGTTAATGATAATACCAATTTCACAGGGTTATGGTAAGGATCAAACTATGACATAACAAACATGTAAAGTACTTTGCAAACCTTAAAATGATATGTAAATACACACTGTTGTTATTGTTGTTGTAGTTGTTACTACTAAATCTGAGATGGAAACACCCCAATCTATCATCCTCTCTGTGGAAAAGGGTGAATTGAAAACCCCAGGAATAAGGAGCTGCACAACGGCAGGTCACACACTGGGCCAAACACAGAAGGATACCTTGAATGCTAGCCTCCTGAATCTGAGTCCAGGGCTCTTTTCTTTGTACCATACTACCTCTAGTATGTGAACAAAATTCACTGTTCATCTAGTATGCAATGTCTGAAGACACGTTTTTTAAAAGATCATTTACCAAAGAGATAAAAATTCACTGGGCCTCACTTCACTATTTATTCTTCTTGTGGCAGCAAGGTAAACTTTATCATATAGCTGACATTTATACAGGCTTTAAAGAATTAAATGATTTTTCAATATCTTATCTCATTTTAATAATAATATTCATATAGCATTCTAAAGTTTGCAGAGCATTTCTCAAACACCGCATTTTAATCATCACAATATTCTTAAGAAGTTGGTGCTATAATTATCCCCACAGTACAGGAAAATGAAGCATGCAGAGGTTAAGTCACTTGCCCAAGGTCAGAAAACTAATAAGTTTCTGAGGCCTGATTTGAATTCAGGGCTTCTTGATTTCAGTTTGATACTCACTGCCCTCCTATGCGGTAAAGAGGTCAGAGATTATCTCCCACACTTATAGAGGAAAAAACTGAGCTCAAGGCATGAGAAAAGACTTGCCCTGGTTACACAGCCAGTAAGTCTGAAGCAAGATTCAATACTAGCTCTTCCTGACTCCTAGTCCAGAATTCTATCCCCCCTACCAGAGAGACAAACATTTGTATATCTTTTGATTGCCTACTATGTGTAAATCTGGTACTATGGAACCTCACAGATTTTTCATCTTTAAACATGATATGCACACAATCTGAGAAATATTAGCTCATTTCAGGGCTAAGAAAGCAAGGATTAAGTTCTTATTTACTTTAAATGCTTCATTTCAGTCAGCCAAAAGCTACCTTCTCACTGCTCCATCCCACTCCCCAATTGAGAACACAAGAAAAACAAAACCCATTACAAACATGTATAGTCAATCAAAACAAATTTTCACATTGGCAATGTCCAAAAAAAAATTGCCTCATTCTGCATTCTGAGTCTTTCACCTTTCTGTCAAGAGGTAGGTACCATGTTTCATCACTAGTCCTCTGAAAGTATGGTCATTAATTTCACTGACAATAATATTCCATCCCATTTATATATAATAATTGTTCACTGGTTCCCAAATTTATGGACACCCTTCAGATTCTCTGCTACTTCAAAAAGTTATAAATATTTTTGTATATCCTTAAAAATTTATTTTGCTTAGGATCATCCCTCCCTTAACCTACCTTACCTCCAATTTTCACTATTCTCCTTCCCTTTCTCCTCTTTCCCTAGGGACATGATTTTGAAAGCCAAAAGCCAAAACAGGTTTGGGATGGAAATGAAGACCAGCCTGGGCCCATTCTCAAAATGGAGATTCCAGGAGGAACTCATCAATATGAAAAGAGGACAGGCCACAAAGAGATATTCCAGGTTGAGAAGGCCACAGGAATGGTTCAGTGTCCTGGAGAGAGATCTCAGGCACTGAGGTAAGTTCCAGGACGAGACAGCATGGTTTGGAAATTAATACTGATTTTGGTTATCAATATTTCTGTGGTCCAATGCCCATTTTGACTGTCAATTACTTGCTTAAATCACTCAGAATTTAGTTTTTTCAACTGTCATATCTTTTTCATCATTATTATTCATTCTCCTTGCTTTTATTAATTCTAATCAAAGCTCTGACATAGCAGTGGTCTTATAGTGCACAGATGCAGAGCTAACTCAGGGATGGATATCATGCACAACCATGGCAGGTCTTTTCCTGTATGTTAAAATGTGACCTATTTCAGTTTTTGTGATTTTATTTTGTGCTCAATATGCCCAGTACTTACCAATTCTTTTCTCAAAGAAAGCCTCCATGATATAGAGGTGTGATGTTCTCTGTGTAATCTATAAATCTTTATGCTCTTCCTCACCCTCTCTCTTTCCCTTCTACCTTCTCTCCCTTTTTTGTGAGCCATGCTTTCCCATATATTTTTAAAATGTAAATAAATTTTCCTTCTTATAAACTTGACAAAAATCAAATATAAACATTTCCCTACATGAAGTTAGAAAGAGAACTGTATATGAAGCCAATAATCTCCACTATGTATAATTTTTTTTGCGTATTTCAAATTTAACATGGTAGTTCAACACTTCCCTGATTGTCTTTGACCTTTCTGTTCTCTTCAGTATATATTTTTTAAATGATTCTTTGAAGGTCTTTTATTTTCTTCTTTCTTTTTTAAAAGTATGAAATTATTTTCACTCCCCTTTCCTCCCTTCACTCGTCCACTCCCTCTCTCCTCCAAAAAAAAAAAATTCCCTTGAAAGTAGAGTGACACCAAACAAATCCACACATTGGTCAGTCTACTATGCCTCTGCTCCATCACTCTCTGCCACAAGGTTTTCCCATTTAATTTTCCCTATTCTCCCCTTTCCCTACCTTTGTAATGAGGCCGCCAAGTATCAAAGTACATGCCGATTTAATATTAAGTCTACAAGTTCTTCACAGATTTTCCAGCGCTGGTACAGAGCTGCCATTATTTTGATGCTTCTCATGAGCACACTCACATATAACAACCAAACACAGGATAAAGTAATATTTCTTGTTGTTGCCTTTGGGCGTATGATAAAATCCAACCCACTAACCTTTTCTTTGCCTCTCCCAAGAGTAACAAACCCATGCTTCCATTTAGCTTCAACCTTATTCTTTCTTCTAGTTCCCCTCTAGTTTTGCTTATAGCAAAAATCATCAAGAATGAGACAATTCAGCTCCTCCAGCAATACGTTCATCTAATGATTTGACAAGATCTCAAAGTTAAAATAGTAATAGTCAGATGGTTTAAAAAAAATACCAAGCAATTCTTATTGTAACCTAACTCACTTCCCCCAATATTTTCTACAATCACTACAGTAGCAAGTGGGGACCACACACGGTTATTTTCTTTGTTTCATAGGCTCCCAAAACCAAAAATTATGCATCGAATTTACAGCCCCTTGATAATGCTCACTCTCATATTCAGCTTCATTGGTTCTCAAATATAGATCCAGTCTGTTGTCGGGGGCCATTATCAATGTTATTTAACAACCTTTAAAATGTTAGCGGTAACAAAACAAGAGAAAAAAATCAAAGGCATAAACATCAACAAAAAGTATATAAAACTATCCATTTTTTTTGATGACATGACAGTTTAATTAATTAATTAATTTGTAAGTGTCCAGCCTATGAAAGTCATGGGTAGTCAAAGATAGCGTAGTATAGTGGATAGAGCCCCAGACTTGAGGTCAGGAAAGCCTGGGCTCAAATCCAGCCTTGGCCACTTACTAGCCATGTGACCCTGGGCAAGTCACTTAAATTCTCTGTGGTACAATTTCTTCATCTATAAAAGGAGAAAATGATAGACAGAGAGATAGACAGATAAACAGATGTGTAAGGACCAACTTCACCTTACAAGGTGTTTTTTTTTAATCAAATGAGAAAATATATGTAACGTGGTTTTCAGACCTTGAACTACCGTATAAATGGCAGCTACAATTATTTTAGTGGGTTTCCCCTTACTAGAGGTCTTCTAAGGCTGATAACTTGTCAGATACATTATGGGGGGAATTCTTTTTCAGGTATGGGTTCCACCAAATGACTTCTGAGGCGCTTTTTAACTCTCAAATTTTGTGATTATGAAATAGACTAGATCTAGCTATATGATATTACTCCTTCTTTTATTCAATCCACTTTCCACACAAGCAGCCTTAAGAACTTTCCTAATATACCACTATGACCATATCATTCCTCTATTAAAAAACCTTGAGTGGCTCCACAGTGCAAAATCAAGCTTAATCTCCTGGCCCTGGCATCTAAGCCCTGCCAAAGTCTATTCCCAATCTGCTTAACTGATTCATACTATTCACTCCCCCTTTACAAAATGAGTGTTCCAAACTTTACTATTATGTGATTCTGTTCTGCATCACCCTCCCTCATCTCTGTACCTTTAGTCAAGTCCAACATTTAGAGAAAGATGCCTCCTTTGTGATAAGCTTCACTGACCTTCCACTTCACACTACCCAAGGAGATAGCAATCATACTTCTCGTAGTGCCATGATATATGACACATGCCCATTAAGTGCTACCTTGCTGTTCAGTTATTTCAGTAGTATTGTCCACCACCTCTCCTGCAGACTATAAATTTCCTGAGGTCAGGATCTATAATTTTTCCTTTACATATACCCAGCCCCTTCACTGAGGCCTTGTATACTATACTGAAGCTGAAGTGAAGGACATTTTATGTTAAATTACTAGCTCACCAAAGTAAGTATTTCATTATGTAACTAAATAATAAACCTGTTAAGACTTCTTTCTTGGCTTTCCCACCACAGAACTGTAATAGTTACATATTATATAAAGTGTGGGGCTAAGTACATGTTTTATAGTTACAATATTCCCTTTTCATATCAATATGCAACAGTATGTTTTCAGAGTGTCCCGCTTTCTAGAGCTAAAATTCTTCTTCCTTGCAGGTCCTGTGTCTTCCTGCTACCACCACCTACACCACCCTCAGCCCAAGTCTTATTGTTGTTTACCACTACTACCCTAGAGGGCTGCTCTAAGATGATGCACCTGTGGTAAGAAATCTTTTAAAACAAAAGGAAGTGAAGCATTGTTAATGCTAAAACACCAATCTCACACCACCTATATCTCTGGAATTAAAGACTGCTCATTGCCAATTCACACATAATTAGTTTATTGAATGATACACCTAAGAACTTATAGACTATGCATTAATCTACTAACCAGAACTAACAGCCCAAGTTAATTACACAACTGAAATTAGTTGAAGCAGCATAAACATTTTCAGGACAGGTAGAGAAGGACCAAACAGGCCACTGCGGGATCGGTACAAAGTCAGAAAATTCAGGCATTTCAGAAAGACAGACATACTGGCATTCCTTCCGGGCTTCTCCCCAGGCAGTTTCTTTCCCTATCATTCCAAGCACAGGAGATAAGACAAAGAAATTAACTACTACAGCTTAGTATATGAGAACCAAAGAGTCCTCCTTATTCAGGATAATAAGGCCAATTGAGTACAAAGGGAATCAACCTTTTTTTCCCCCTAGGTATGATGCCTGAGAAAATTACTAATCTGTTCTATTCAACCTGAAAAAAATATCATTTTGGCACAACTTCTGAGCAACCTGAGCCAACTCCAATCCATGTTGTCAAAGGAGACAAGATAACCTGGACAATTAAGATCCACAGATATTTCCAAGACTTCATTTCAGTTAATAAGTTTACCCTCTCTCCATTCATCTGTCAAACCTTTACTTCCAGCTGGTAATTTGATCTTAACACCTAAGGGTTATTACATGTTATTACATGTGCTTGGCACATAGTAAGTGTTTAATAAATGCTCTGCTGACTGAATGATAACAGAGAATAGGATAATTAGAGTACTTAAAAAACCAGCATTCGTAAAGAACTTTACAATGTATAAAGCATTCCTCTAATAACCACCTTTTAAGTAAGGCAGCACAAACATTATCTCTATTTTATAGGCAGGGAAGTTAAGGCTTAGAGAGAGAATATTAGTAGGCCAGGGTCACCCATCTAGCAAACATAATGATATAACATTCATATGTTACATTTCCATAGCACATTCAAGGCATATCAAGTGTTTTCCTCACAATAGGCCCCTGACGCCTTTATTCATCAAGAAAGAATACACCCACAACATACCCAGGCACAGTATTTAGTATTTAGGGAATAAAGGAAAAAAATCAAATAGTCCTTGACTTTAAGGAGGTTATATTCCATCAAGGGAGACATGTACACATGAGTACATACAAACTAAATATTGGATAATGGGGACAGGGATCAGCAGCTGGGAGTAACAGGAAAGGCCTCAGAGAAAGGGCAGCGTATAAAGTGCATTCTCAAGGAAAGTAACCATTCTAAAGCATGGCAGTAATGAGGAAGCACATTCTGGAAACAGCACCAAAAGTAGACCGTCACAAGGAAGGGCAAAAGAGTCAGTCTGGCTGAACTGTGAGTGCATGAGAGTAATGTATAATACGCTAAGCTACTGGAAAAGTTGTGGCCACCTCGATCTCCTGATAAGACGCAGTCTTCTTTCCGTTGCCCCACAGCTATCAAACAGTCCGGAAGCTGAATGTGTTTATCCAAAGGCATTTTCCCTGCCACCTTCAGGAGCGCTGCAGCGACACGCCTCACTCTTCCAACAAATATAAGTACTGTTGCCGTTGTTCAGTCGTGTCCAACTCCTCATGGCCCTATTGGGGGTTTTCTTGGCAGAGACACTGAAGGCCCTTTCCTTCTCCAGCTCATTTTTACAGATGAAGAACTGAGAGAAGAAAGGTTAAGTGATTTGCCCTGGGTCACACAGCTAGTAAGTGTCTGAGGCTGGATCTGAACTCATAAAGGTGGGTCTTCATGACTCCCAAGCCCGGTGCTCTCTATCCACTGTACCACCTAGCTGCCCCAAAATAAATATAAGAAGAAACAGGGAAACAAAATGACTTAAGAAGGCTGCACCCTGTACTGGATCCTCTGCCCTCCTATATAATCTAGTCTTGTCTGCAAAAGAAACTTTTAACCCACTTTAGTTCTTTTTTATAATGTTGTTGCTTGTTATACATATTGTTCTATTTCTGTTCACTTAACTCTGCATTGATTCACACATCTTCCAGTTTTTTCTGAAAACATCTAGCTCATCATTTCTTATGGTACCATAGCCAAGGCACTTATATGCTACTGTTCAGCTATTCCCCAACTGATGGGCCCTAGAACCTAAAGTTTCCAGCTGTCTGTCACTACAAACAGAACTGCTAAAATATTTTCATATGTGTGTTCCTTTTCCTCTTCCTTTGATCTCTTCGGTGTATAGGTCTAGTCTGGGTACTGACGGGTCACAGAGGATTGCAGCTTAGTGATTCTGTGGTATGGTTCCAAATTGCTTTCCAGAATGACTAGACCAATTCACAGCTCCACCATCTGGGAATTAATGTCCCACAGTCCCTCTGGCACTTTCATTTTCTCTTTAGCCACTGTTGCTAATCTGACTCTGAAGTGCATTTGTAAGGCTGTTGTTCATATGGCTGTTGATAAATTAGATTTCTTTCTTTCAAAATTGTCTATTCATATCCTTTGACCATTTATCAATTGGGAAATAGCTACTGTTCTTATGAATCTGAATGATTTCCTTATTTCTTGGAAATTAGACCTTTAACAGAGAAACTTGTTGCAATGAGTTTTCCTAGTTGCTTATCTTTCCATTTTTTTTACGTACAACTTTGCCAGCCTTTCCAAAACTGTATTAAGTAACAGCGAAGAAAGAAGGCAAGGAAAATCCTTACTTTAGTTCTGCATTTACGGGGAAAGTTTCTGGTGTTTCTCCAGTGTACGTAAGGCACTCCTTTTGTTTCAGTCAGATAGTTTACGCACACATAGGCTAAGTAGCACACTGGATACAGATTATGATTTGGAGTCAGGAAGACCTGAGTTCGAATAGATCAAAATGATTTGGTACTGGTTAAAAAATAAAGAGGGTGATCAGTGAGAACAATTAAGTACACAATATGCAAAAGCAAACAAGCACTGTAGCCTAATGTTCATTCAATACGCCCAAAGACCCCAGTTATGGGAGTAAAAACTCACTAGTAGTAATTGACAAAAACTGCTGGGCAGCCCAGAAAGCAATCTGGCAAAAAATAATATATAGATCAACATTTCACTACATATAGAAAGATAAGTTCCAAAAGGATAACATCATAAACAAAGTAGAGAAGCAAGAAAGAAAATTTTAGATCTATAGATGGGGGAAGAATCCATGACCAAACAAAAGAGAGGATTAGGGAAGATAAAATGGAAAATTTTTACCGTATAAAGTTAAAATTTTTTGCACAAACATAACCTATGCAGCTAAAATAACAAGTGAATTAGTAACTGAGGAAAAGTCTTTTCAGCACACTTCTCTGACAAAGATCTCATTTATGGTATATATAGGGAAGGGTCTCAAAGTTTTAAAAGCCATTCCCCAACTAATAAATGGTCTAAGGACATGAATAAATAATTTTCAGAGAAAAACTGAAGTCATCTATTGTCACATAAAAATATTTCAAGTGACAAATAAGCAGAGAAATTAAAATTAAAGTAACTGGGGTTCCATCTTATACCCAATCAGACCGGCAGAGATGACTTGAAAAAAGGAACATGACAAATGTCGGAGAGGCTGTGGGAAAACAAGTACATTAATTCATTGTTGATGGAGCCGTGAACTGGTTTAGTCTTTTCAGAAAGCAATTTTGAAGTATTTAGAAAATGATTAAGTGTGCATACATACTCTTTGACCAAGTAATAACACCACTAGGTCTATATCCCAAAGAAATCAAAGAGTAAAAGAACCCATTCATATAAAAATGTTCATAGTTCTTTTATGCAGTAGCAAAGAACTAGAAACTAAAAAGGGTACTTATCATTTGGAGAATGGCAGAATAAGTTAACTGTATATAAATACTATTGCGCTGTAAGACATGATGGAGACCATTTCAGAAAAACTTGAGAAGACTTATGTATGAACTGATGCAGAACCAGTAGAACAATTTACACAGTAACAACATTATAAAGTCGAACACCTTTGAAGGATGTAAGTAGTCTCATTAATGCAATGACAAATCACAATTTCAGAAAAGTCACAATGAAACATGCTACCCACACTTCCTGACAGAGGCAGGACTCAGGATTCATCATCAGACTGAGATACATTTTTGGACACAGACAAGACAGGAATTTGTTTTGATTAACTATGTATACTTATTTTAAAAGGTTTTTCTTTTGCTTTTTTTTTTTTGCAAGAGGCAATCAGGGTTAAGTGTCTGAGGCCAGATTTGAACTCCTCCTGACTCCAGGGGTGGTGGGTGTTCTATCCACTAACCTACCTAGCTGCCCCTCCAGGTTGGGTTTTTTCTCTCACCCAAAAGCAGTTCCTTTACAATTATTTCAACGTCCTTTTATGAAAATGTTTTAAGATCTCACACTTTGGTATTCTATTCACTTGGATGTACTGCATTTTTACAGAGGCACATTAGCCTCCTACACAGCCAGACTCCGAACCAGGAAGAGCTGGGTTCAAACCAAACTTGAGCAAACTGCTTGAACTCTTAGCAAGGTAGGGAACTCTCTAAGACCATTATTAAGTTCCAGACAAGATGTCTAGCTGCCTTGGTAAAGAGAGCTCACTCATTTGGGAGTCCTCCCTACCAAAGTAATCCCTATGCCAATCCCCATATTTTCATAGAACATTTGCTACTGTTTTTGAATTCTCAGTTTTTCTGGCGTATAACTGTATGTAGCAGGTTCTGAGAGTTCTTTTTATTTCTTCTTCTGTGATTTCACCTTGTTATTTTTTCTCTTGTTAATTCATATTCTCCCTCTTCCTTTTAAGGTTACTGGCAAAACGTTTATCAGATTTATTAATTTTTCCAAAGAATCAGCTTTCAGGGTTTTTTCAGTTCTATTCTTTTTGGTTTTTAATTTATGTCTCATCTGATTTTGAATATTTCCTCTCTGGGACTCATTTTGGGTTTATTTGTGGAGTTCTTAATCTTTGAGTACCATATCTCACTCACTTGCCATGTCTTTTCCTATTTTTGTTAATTACGTTTT